AGGCTAGACTACTTGCACAGCAAAAGCGACCACGAGCCACTTTGATGGCGGGGGCTGTCTTTAAGAGATGGGGAACAAAGAGAGACTCGTCTGAGGTATAGGTTAAACAAGCCACCTTTCTTTTGTGGTTATCTGACTTCGTCTGAGTACCTTCTTCTAACTAGAAGAACGCGGAAGACATGGGTCCATTCATGGTCTTGTTTCTGAGCGCATAAGGGTGGGGATTCGCGGAGCTGTCGAGTAATTGAATATTTCACTTTTTCACTTGAAGCTGAGGGCGGGTTAGTTTGTGGGATAACCACAACCAATGACTTACATGTTGGCCTCCATAAGTCTTCTTCTGGTGTTCGAAATGCTTTACGTACGCCGAAAGTTGATCGTCACTGGGTTTCATAGTAGGCATTGGCTGCCATTTAAGATTGGGACGCTGAGACCATAATAGAGGAATTGAACCGCGTGTCTGAATATTCCAATGAAAAAACTTATTTTCATTTTCTGATCGTTAATAGGAGACTAATTTATACCTGCAGGAAAGAAGTTAACCTTCGGCCCCTGCCCGATATCGTTTCGACAATTTGTTCCGTCTCCACGAAGTTAGCTGGGTGTCCGTCACTACTTACACCTCGCTTGTAGAAGCGTACTCCTGCCCTAGAACGGTTGTATGGAAAAAGTGTAAGGGAGTATATAAATATTGACTCCAATTGCTACAGTTGCCCTTGGCCACTTGATCAGTTCCAGGCCATCGCGATAACAACAACAACAACTCCTGCTTGGAAACTGACCTGTATCTACTTCGCCTCGAAATTAATGACAATTTGAACTGAGTCCCATTCACGCAATGATGAACTTCTCCATAGAATCCGTGCATAACAGGCAAAGCGAATCGTGCAATCTTAATCCGTGCCAATTCGAAGATACGTACCCTACATGCCGAAGAAATGCATTCTGTATACACTCACCCCTTGTACTGAGCGCAGTTGGGACAGAAGGTAGCTATTCCATATAAATCGAGAATCCGCCTTAACAAATTCACATTTTCTCACAGGCATGGGTCAAGCAGTGGCATGGTGCAAGGTCTATTCTGTGGATGAGAA